AATCTGCCGTCTCCGATCTCCTTTTTGTTAATAAATGACGCAGAAAAAAACAGCTGTTCAAATTGTGGCTAGAAAATATCCATACATTTGTATATTCTCGATAGCAAAACTTGAGTACGTAAAATACTATCATTTGTGTTTATTATTAATAAATTTTTATCGTTTCCTTGGTAGTGGTTCAAATGCTCCTAATTTTTAGTCCATTTGGGTCTGTTAAAACTCACTTTAATTGTGGTTATGATTTTCAAAACTAATTAAAGCTATTCATGAGCACTAAATGCGCAAATAAATCTAAATGCCATTGAATTTAAGCGGACACCTTTGTTATGAATTTACTTAAAATTTCACGTTATTTTCGCCTTTTGCTGGTATTCAACATTTGTACGTGTGTATATATATACACACACGTACAAGGGTTGAATACCAGCACAAGAAGAAAATAACGCGAAATTTTAAATATATATGTATATATATATATTGGGGATTGGGGGAATAATATACTATTTATAAGTATTTATTTTTGATAGGATGCTATCGAATTAAGAATACTTCAGTGACCCAATTTGTCATCTTGATTAAATAATATAACTACAGATGAAATCAGACAATGACTTGATTTAAGAACTTTACTTAGAAATTGTTCGAGATTTTAACTATAAAAACTCTTTNGACATTCATATATATGTATATATATAAATAGATAGATAGATATATATATCAGAATATCCGATTTTCAATTTTTAATCAGGTTTTAAAATTTAGAGACATTTAAGATACGGAAGTTTCTTATTGGCTTAGTGGAGGCCGTTGTTTCAAAATAAGCCATAGACGATTCAGTTGTATCAAATATTTTAAAGATAACTCCAGTGGTGTTTGTTAGCTTATAGCAGAAAGGTTGTTTAATGCGCGCTCTGCAATACTTAATTATTTTTTATTAGTTATGCAGGTTACCTGAAAAATCAAAGTGATCGTGCTAGCATAAGCAGACACCGTCACCAGATTAATATTTTTAAGGTTATCTGAAACCACGAATTTGTTTTGTTTATGGTTATGCTTTTAAAACGTGTTACTATAAGACTGAATAATTTAAAATCAACGGTGATTGAAATAAAAAAAAGTTTTTGAATTAAAAGCAAAATTAAGGGATAAGTGGTACTAATTCGATGATGAGAAACGTAACAAAACACCAATATTATTCATGACGTCCATGATTATTAATTTGGGTAAAATTACAGTCAATTTTTTTATTGTTTTAATTCATTCAAAATCCTTGAAAACCACCAGAAAACCTTTTAATACTTTTCTAAGAGTACTAAATATTAAATTATTTTTAAGCAAAAAACGCTTACTTTCGTTTTCATCTGAAACGGGGAGTCACGTGATTATTCACGAACTGACGTCATTTGTGTCCATCTGCCGTTCCTTTACATTTGCTGAGCTGTGAAAGCCATCACGTTTTCGCTTTCGTTTGAATTTTAGTAATTAAATCCAACAATTTTAGATGGTAAATAACTATGAGAACACAGACAATTACAATAAATTGTGCCCCAATGTATAGCTTAATAAAAATGAAGCTTAAAATAACGCATTTTTATAATATTTTCTAATAATAATATAAAATTAATAATTTATATGGTACTCATTGAAATATTGTTAATAGCTGATGGTTCTGAATATTAGAGTTTTTAGTTCAGTAAGAAAGGGTTTAGAATGAGTTATAGATGTCTGGTATTACTAGAGCCCCTGAAATAGACAGGCCGACTTATCATTTATTTTGGAGCAAAAACTTTTCCTCCAATAATGAAGAGCTACAAGATTTGGCAACTTATCGCTAAAAGCGACGTTAACCTCAACTATAGGATGATCGGTAAAGAAAAGCGTGCAACGATTAACATTGTTTTTCGGAAACTTTTTTTTTTATGCTTATACAAATTTACTGCAAATTTTATGACCGATTTAAAGTTTTAAATAAAAAACTGTGCATTAGCTATATGCCAATTACATAAAGTTTTTTATAAATGATTTCAAAGTAAATTTGGTACTAAATTTTATATTTCAGTTAGATCTGGGTTTTTTAAATATCTTTTCAGATCTTTTTTTAACAAAATTAAAATGGGAAGAAACCTGTTTTGACCTGAAATATTTTTAAGTATGTTTTTAGAATCAAAATAATCAAATTTCTGGTGCAATATTCTAAATGTAAATGTCTACAATTGTGAGAAGCAAGAAATTTTGTTTCAAAATCAAGAATTGATTATGTTATTAATTAGTGTCTTTAATTGAAACATTGAATTTTCTTTAAAACATTTAAGGACAAGATGAATTAAGATTTTTAGCCATTATTATATTAGAAACTAGAGTTTTATGGGGAGGAGAAGAAACGACGCATGATAAATTTTTAAATAATTTATTTAAATAAGCATCTAATTTCAAAACACATTTTTAAAACATTTATATGTTTGGAACATTGGAAATTGTTGGAATAACATCAGGTCTTAATTTATTGTTTCCATCTTTTTTACTTATTTCCAGTTGAGATTCTTCAAAATGAACCTGCAAAAATATTTAGAATTCTTTTTTTAATTTTCATACTTAAATTAAATCACATTAAAAATAAATTCGAGTTTGCAATTTTCAAACATACTTCTATGAAATTTTCTAGCACAGAAACTAATTATTTCAGCAATTTAAAACAAGAAAATAAAAATATTAATAGACCCAAAAACATATGAAAGATCGCATATTAAATAGATATATAAAAACCGTTTGTATTTTAGGCGATATATTACCATAAATAACTAAAATTCAGACTAAAATTAGCCAAGATTAAGAAAGTAACTACTTGATCTTAGTGAAATAAAATGGAATACAATAAAAAACAGGTAAATATTTGTTTTTTACGAAAAGAAATCCTTAAAAGTGAATACAAAACTTGGCGATCATGAAATAAGTTTGGCGAATACTTATTCAGCCAATCTCTTACCTATATTTATTAGTTTTATTGCGCATAAACTCTTAAATTTGTTAAATAAATCAATAAATGTTGTTTAAAAATGTTTATCAATAAATGTTGTATGTCATTAAATGTCATAAAAGTCAAAATTTAAGTAAATATATACTTAATAAATGTAATTTTCAATGAAAATTCCTATATTTGGTACATAGTTAAAACTGTAAGTTATTCGCCTATTTTTTTAAAAAAAAATAGACGGAAACAAGCACTTAAAAACAAATTTTAACAACTTAATATCGTTTATATACTACATATATAAGTAAATAAATCTACTAAATTATAAATAAATGAGTATTTACCTCACATAAGTGAGCTCCACTTCCAGGCTGCCAGCTGTATCTTCGGCAATTTATTATCCGTTTCTTCTTTCTTTTCACGTTTGAAGGAAATCTGAACATGCGGAAGCCTTTTTTTGAACTGTTTGTGCAATTTACTGCCGCACAACCACCCATATCACTAATTTTAAATATCCAAATAGTCCTCAAACTTACACGCTAATACTAACATAACGTTAACTTGCGAACTAGTTTGCTCCAATTTAGTTGACAGTTCAGCTCTCATAGTATAGTAGCCTTAGGTATTACCAATTAACATTATGCGTCATAAATACAAAAAAAAAATTGTTCTTTAATTTTTTAAACTATACATTAATCTTAATTTTACCGTGTATTTCAAATTCATTGCGGAGATTTATTTTCATGTTAAGTAAAAGAAATGTTGAATCACTTTTTTACATAGAATTGTTTTAGATTTTAAAAGGCAGTAAAGCTTAAGTTATTAATGTTATTTACTCCTGCGTAAATTCAAAGCAGGGAATTGTCTTCAACATAGCAGTAGTTTTTTGAAAAACTTGTGATTCCAGTAAAACTTTAAATTCATTCTTTAAAAAAAAATTTTAAAGTAAAAAAACATTTGCACATTCCAGTAAATTTTATCAACTTTATTGCAATTGTGTTAATCTGTGTTATCTGAGTATATGAAATAGAGCATATGCATTTATTTTGTTCCACATTGCAGAAACGGGAATTAAATTTCATAAATTCATACAAAAAGAACTTTTCGACATGACAAAGTTTCTGTTTACTCAAAGAATAAAAATATTGAGAAAATATTAACATTATTGTTTTTTTTAAAATTATTTAATAAATAATAAGGAATGTGCATTCGAATTTCTTTTCATTTTGTATAAGTTTACTTTTTTATTATTATTCTTTAGCTTTAGTCAAACAGAAACGTCTAGCTAAATGATATTCGCTGAAATTATGTGGGTAAATTAAATAACATTAAGTGAAATTTTAAGTATAAGTATATTATGGTGATGATGATGGACATATATATTTATATGAACTAGATTCTTGAAAGTGTTGATAAGTTTTCGGCGGAACCAAATGTTTAACCTGAGACTTTTTCAACTATTTTAATTAAATTATTTTACTTATATATGTAAAATGTATTAATTTTACTATTTTAGAATTCATCATTGCAAGCACTGACAAACAGTTTACAAAAATAAGGAGAGAAATTAACAATAACCATACTTTGTAAATACTATATTACAGAAACAGGAATTAAAAATTATAAATTTAAAAATAACTTCTAACTGTAGCAAAATTCCTGTTTATTTAAAAAATAATAAATATAAGCGTTAATAAGTTTTTAAATATATACTATAGTAAACTGCATACTGACATAAACTATAAATATTCACATAACTAACTTAGTAAATATTTACATAAAAGGAAAATCCTTCAGCTCTAGTAAAAAAAATAAAAGAAGCAAAATTAAATTATATTATTTGAATTATGGAACATTAGCACATAGATTGTAACGATGATGGATTCATATTTTTCAATGTACTTGACTAATGAAAACACTGATTTGTTCTAATGCAATACTGAGAAATAAAATCATTCATCCTATATCTAAATGTAGAACACTAAGCCTACACGGAGCACTACACGAGTGATCACGATTAGAGTGATGCTGCATGCCGAAATTAGTAGATATTTTAGCCGTCAAAGACGTTACCAGGGTGCACCACGGGGAGGTATATTATCGCACCCCCCTGTATCTAATATATTCTTTGATCTTTTCCTTTTATGTGCCTGTTGGGAAACATAAAATCGCCTTTGACGGAGAAGTAACAGCTATCAATGAGGTACTGACGCAGCTCATTCCAGGACACCTCTACAAAAAGGTTGTTATTCTCTCTGATTCCAAAGCTGCCATAGAGGCCATTGCCTATAAGGAAATGCCCATATCAAAGGATATACAAGATTGTCGGGCCCTCTTGGAGAAACTGAAGATCGATGGTCGTCAAGTTAGTCTGCAATGGATCCCAGGACATAGCGATATCTACGGCAATGAACAAGCTGATATGTAGTAAAAAAATAATCCAACAGCCAAATTCCAATAAATCACTTCATTCCACGAAAATTTACATCAAAAATTTAATGTGGAAAAATTGGAAAGTGTCCCTTTCTTCCCATATGTCCCTGAAAAGTTGGGGGAACTCTTAGACCGGGGCATTTCAGACAGACCCCGTGAAAAGGTTGTGGCAGAATTTAGTCTTGGTGGGTCATGACTGTCTTGCGCACCACCTCCACCGCATTGGTATTTTTACGAGTTCGAATTGTCCACTCTGTAGGAAATTTGAAGTAATGGATAGGAAGCACTTGATGGGATGTTCGGCTGTACACGGAGAGTCCGAGGTGAACAGATATTGGAGTGCTAGGCATCTGCTAACATCTTAGTTTTTCAGACGGGAAAAATCGTAAATGAACTCATCCATTTTGTTAGGAATTCTATTTGGTCATTTGCTTCACTACAACAGGTAGAAAAGCGTGAGTCTCCTCCTCGTCCTCCCCTCGTCCACTCACTCGACTTTGGGACTTTCTGGTATTCTAACTAACAATCGGCTTGTGAACATCACTTATTTCCCCCCCGAGAGAACGTGTTTCTGTTTAAATATTCGTGTTTCTGTTTAAATAAAGCGGGAATGAAGTAAATAATAAGATTTTCATTTATTTTTCCATTATTTGTTCCTCTTTTTAATCTTAAAAAAAAAGTTTTTTTTTCAGTTCCGGGACATTTCTTC